CTAGCAAATTTGCTGTGATTTCCTAAATAAGGTCGACAACATTCCTCTGCAACTTCACCATATGAAAGAGCTGGAATATTAAGCCTAAAAAATGAAATAAAAATTTATTAGAATTGTTTTGTATAAATGATTTATAAACTGGTAATTATGTAGTTTTACTACAGTCATGGCCATAAATATGAGAATGCTGCATTTTTTTATAGTATGGCTTTTAGATCCTGAATATAACAAGCAGTTAACACCAATAACAATTAGTTTGTCCTTTTATAAAATATAATTAAATTATTAGTAAAAAAGCATCTTAAAGCGTGATTGTCTCAAAAGTCAATATTGATGGGCTGTCCTTTGTTGGCTATCACAGCCCTTAACCTCTCAGGCATTGAATCAACTAATTTTTGGCAATATTCCAGCGTTATTTCTTGAGTCCAAACAGTTATGATAGCATTCTTAAGGGTATTTTCGGAACTAGGATTCTTCGTAGCAACTTTCCGCTTCATCATTATCAATAAATTTTCTATTGGATTAAGGTCGGGGCTGGAGCCAGACCAAGGTCCTAAAACATCAATTTGTTGACCCATTAGCCACTGGCTAACTGCTCCAGTGCGGTGGCAGGGAGCTCCATCATGCTGGAAAGTGGTACAGTTGCTACTAGCCATATGCTAAGGTAGCTTTTCTTTAAGGATATTGAGATACACTGCTCCATTAATGGTGGTGTTCTTTGGCATAAACCAGATATCTCCCCAGCCTGCTCCCCTAAAGCAGCCCCAAACCATTGTAGTTGGAGCTTGTTTTACAGTAGGGACAACTTATCTGATATTGTAGCGCTGATTGACTGGTATTCTAACATGCCTAGTGTAAGAGGCAAACTGGGAAAATGTTGATTCATCAGAAAACATGACCCTGCATTGTAAGGTTTGAAAGTACGTTACAAGGTTTGAAAACAACTGTAATTATTATCTAACAACTATTATCTAACAACTGTAACTATTATCTAATTGTCTTTACATGATGAAGTATTATGAATAGAAAATTTATCATCGTTCTCATATTTATGGCCATGACTGTACATATCACATTACAACATATAACAGTCACATCATATAATATAGTCTTACCACACCACATCACACGATAATACAACACATTTGTATATGAAGACATAAATTTTGTAAATAGTTTCAAAACAAAAGTGTTTAAAGAAACAATCCAATATCTAATATTTTATATATATCTAATAGCCACATGTTTGACTGGGGAATTACATTGGAATAGCAAGATTGTTGGGGGCCCAGGTTCAGACTTTTGGTAGAGGTCCTCATCACTCTGTGCCTTTTTTACGACACACTTAAGAAACTTCCTGAGAATTTTTCTATATTTCACACAAATAGACTACTTTAAAAACTTACAGTTAAAAACTTAAACAGAACTGTGTAGAGAGTTAATAATTATCACTTTATACAGTTTAATTTTTTCTAAATAGCCATTCACATATTCTGGCTTTTATATTGGCAAAATCTCTAACTGTTTTATTTTTATCTACACATTTAAAGTGCCTTTTTTCAATGCTCAAAATTGCCAATTCATTTAAACTTTCTTTCGTCATAAAAGGTTACAAGTATATTTTTATTAAATTAAAAATTACTAACTAAACCTGCAAAGCTAGACACCAAATTGAGCTGCATTATGGTGTCTAAGTGTTCCTTCACACTGCTGCTCATACCTACTTTTGTAATGTATTTTTTAACACATTTATTGAATGCTAAAACCTGGCTTAGAAAGTCATCAGAAATTGTCTTAATACTTTTTAGCAAACACTGCACAAAATTTTTGAGAGCATCTATAAAATTCTTTGAAAATCTGTAAATTTCTTCGGAAATAAAAACTAAAAATACATTACAACATGTTGCAACAATTCATCAGTAAGAATATAAACAATTACACTGAAACAACCCCCTGCAGTTTCAAGGTGTTCGTTATAGGTAAGCTCTCTAAAAAATTTAGTTGCAATTCTTTTTCTTTAAGAAACGTGTAGCTACATCCAGAAGTTTAAGTGCTATGAAAAAGTCAGCATTTTTGCACCACAATAATTTTGATACAGCACGCAATTTGCCCAGCTTCATTACATACTGTTGGTCCATCTTCTGTCTACAGATGTGTAAGCATCTTAATCAGATCGGAACACCTATTTTTAATTGCATAGAGTTTTTAAAGAAATTTGGATTTCCATGTCAGAGCAAAAAGTTTTTAAAAATATGTTTACTTTGAAGGAAATACCCAATGTGATGTACTTTCTTGAAACTAAACATATATATATTGAATAATGCTAAAGAAAGTTTTTATTTCTGCACACAATTCAACAGCATCAAATAGCACTAAGTTTAGTCAATGGCGAACACAGTGAACTTTAAGCTGCATTTGCTTTGAAAATGTTGACTGTTGTATTGCCTATAACTTCAAAAAACAGATTTCTGACAGAAATTTCTTTGAAAAGTTTTTTTAAAACGGGATTAGGAAAAAAGGATAGAAGTTGACATAAATAAAATAATTTTCATTTTAAGTGTTTTTTGAGTTATATATTAGTTATTTTTATATTTTCTCTTTTGTTAGGAAATCTTTTCATTTTTTAATTTAGTTTTTTTTTTAATTTTTTTCTTGTTTGTTTAATAATTATAATAATGACTGTTTTTTGATATTGGATTCCAGGCCTCCAATAAATTTAAAATTAAGATTAACGAAAGTTTGTTCATTGAATGGAAAAATCCAGATATTAACAAACCATTATAAAATATCACTTTTCACATAATAGTTATCATCTTATAAGCCTTTTGTTAAATAATTTAATATCTTTTTTATTGTATTTTTTGCTATTACCTATTTTATCGTAATTAACGCAAATTGTAATTTATATTTTGTTACCATAGAATATTTGTATATAAAATTAACTTATAAAGTTAATTTTATATACAAATACCATAGAATATTTGTATAAAAAGTTAACTTAAAATTTCAAAGTTTTTTTAACCTAACTGAAGATGACTATAAAATAGTTAAAACATGTTATTTTATTTGTTAAAAAACAAAAAATGCTCTTTATTAATAAGTGGAAAAAATTGTTTTATTAATGTTATGCAAAAAAGAAATTTTGGAATAATATATATATCAGGGGTTAAATTAAGCATATTATGATCGCGATTGCTTTTCACACCTAGATTAGTTTTTCTTAAAAAAAAAGTTGAGCTTTTTTTTGTTGTTGTTAATTCTTGTTTTTTTTTTTCTAATTTATTACTTTTCTAGTTTTTTATTAGGGACAGGCTGTCAAGCAGCAAATTTTGAAAAAAATGACAAAAAATGACAGTATTTTGAGAATAAAAATAAAAAAAATGAAAAAAAATGACTGATTTCATTATAAAAATGAAAAGTTCAATAATTTTATTTTGACAAACAAACAAAATCATCCACCATCACTAATTTCTTTTAAAAATGAAAATCTCAACATCTTTTTGTTGTTTAACACGCAATTAAACGTTCTTCTAAAGTCTAAAATAATTAACATAAATAAATAAATTTTGCTAACTAATTATAACTGAACCAACAGTTCAAGCTCTATTATATTTACAACAACTTTTAACAACTACTTTAATTTTTTGCAACGCTTAATTATTCTATCCATTTCACTTTTACGTTTTAAACCAATATTTTCCCTCAATTTTTTCTGTTCATTTCTATAAGATGAAGCATTTTCAAGACTTCTTTTTGCGCTGTTTATCATTTCATGGGCAATTTTTATACCCATCATGTCTTCCTTAATAATGGCACTTTGAATAGATTTTGCTGCTTCATCGAGCATTCTCTGAGCAAGCTGAAACTCAAAATCTGCATTTTTTTCATCATTCTTTAGACTTTTTTCCTGTTGATCTAAATTTTTATTTTTATTTTCAACTTTTTCAAGCATTTCTTTCTGTTCTTTTTGCTTCCTCGCCAAAGTCCATTTTATTCAAATCAAAGTGGATAGTTGAATCGGAAGAATCAATTTTTAAAAGATCTTTGGTAAACTTTCCATTAACAGCAGTCGGCTGAAGAAAATGTTTCATTAAAGACATTAAAAGATTTTTCATTTTATAAAATAAAATATAAACAAGTGGTCCTTCATCTTGAAATTTTGTCAAGTATTTCTCAAACAAGGGAGCTAAACCAATAAGGAATTTGATGGACACAAGTAACTCCTAAAATAATCAATTCTCTATTATATGTAATAATTCAAAAAAAATAAGAAGAATAACTTTAATTACATTTTCAGTTTCCTTAAGACTTCTTTGAATCCAAATATAACGCTTGTTGTTTGTCAGTGTCTTTTATACTCCTTTTATTTTGGAACATATTCCAAAAAATATTTCTTGGTGTCTTCCCACCTTAATAGAACCTTTATAAGTGAAGAAGAAAGAGTAAGCCATCTAGTATTGATAAAACGAAGAAACAATGTTTCATTGTCAATAAAAATGCAATCTGATAATTTTTTTAAATCTTCTATTTTACAGGGTGCATTCTAAAACAGAAAAAAAAATTATATAGAGACACTACACTTTATTAGCTAGTCTTATAATAGACTATTAGAATAAAAAATAATAATAATGTAAGAAAAAAAACTTCATAGGTAAAATAAAAAATTCTCTTTTAGTATTAACTGCAGTAAAATCCCGTTAAGTTAGACTCTCACAGGGAATAGATAAATAGTCCGACTTAGCTAAGCTTTTTGTATGTATAGAAAGCTCAAGGGGAATTGAAAATCTGTCCGACAGTACAAATCCAACTTATCCAGGGTCCAAATTAATGGGATTCTACTGTATCAAATTACTCAAATCATTACCTTAAACCAGGTATGTAAATCAAATGCAAGCTGCTCAGCATCTTTACCAACAACATTAATTGCTTTTCGAAAAGCATTATGCACTGTGTGCAAAGTGCAACTTACAAATGGTAACAAGCCATTAAAACCATTACTATGAAGAAATGGCTTTGGTAATATTAGGACCATCTGCTGAAATATTAAAAAGATGATCCCATGGTAAATAAAACCTTTCATTATGACGTAAATCTGCTAGCATTGTTTTGACATCTTCTGTTGTTGCTCTGCCAAAGAACAGCGATGTTAAATATTTTGTAACAACTTGGTTTTCGTCTTCTTACCAAAAACGACATAAAAGATCTACTTGTTTTCTTTGTTGTGAAGTAGTTGTTTCATCAAACATTAAAGTGAATGCACCTTGACTTAACGTGATACTATCACATAAACGCTTTTCCAATAATGGCCCAAGGCCATCTTGCAAAATATATGAAGCTATTTGCCGACTCATATAAAACCTTGACTTATTTTACTATCTGGAAACATTATTTGGAACAATATTGGTGTGTTGTCACAATGTCTTAAGACAAGATCATTCTCTGCCACTTTAAAAAGCCACATGGCTTCTGCAGCAGAAATTTTTTCATTTATAGAGAACTCCAATTGTATAACTTTTTTCTCCCCCAATAGAGTTTTTGTTAGAATCTACATATAAATGACGAGCAGTTTTTGAAAATCTTAGATCAGACACTGAATTATGTTTAGGTTTTAAAGAATGCTGATATAGTGCTTGGAAACCAACTGAACTGAATTTTAAATCACTTTTGCATAGTTTACAGATAGCATATTCAGAGTTTCTTTTTTCAGCCCATAATTGGATTTCACTAGATTTTTGTCTAACTTTTCCAAACACACATCATCATCATTCCACTTAACCATTATACTATATAATCTATTGATAAATATACTAAAAACTAAATATAAAAATCATTAACTTTACTAATTCTATACTATAGAATGATTTATTTTTTTAAATAATAACACCAATTTAGCAATACAAATGGATAATTAAAATTAAAATGTGAATATAAAAGATTGTAACTGTTATTATAAAATAGTTTTAAAAATTAAATAAAAAAACTAAGTAACATAATGTCTAAAACAACTTAAAAATATCAAAAACAGCAATTCTAAGTATTTTTTTATAAAAAAAACTTTAAAGTGTAAAAAATTCAAGAAAAAAAGTGAAAAAATGACAGAAACTAACAAAAAAATGAAAAAAAAAAAAAAAAAAAAAAAAAAGAACCCAAAAAAAGCCTGTAGGGGTCATAAAGAATGTCATGCTAAATTTATTTTTTGAATAGAATTATTAATTATCATTAGCTCTCTTGCCTGAGATTTTCATGCAACGTAAAGCGTTTTTCAATACACGGTTTTCCATATTTCTGAAAGTTGTAACGCAAAACAATTTTGAGTAAACAAATATTAAAAATGGTACATTTTATGAAGGAGTCAAGTCATTTTTTGAACAGTTTTTTAATAAAACAACTATTTTTAAGTTAAAACTTTTTGAAACTTTTATCATTCTTGCTTTATTTTCAATAAGTAGTTATTGGTGCAATGACAAATCATTATGTTTTAAGAAGTTACTCAAATGAAAGTTATAAATTTATGAAATTGAAAATATGAAATACGCACAGAATATTAATGTAAAAAAGAGGAAATTGGATGTAATTGTGCATCACCTTTTCAGTAATTTCTTTCTTTCAGTTACTTCTACATTTATTTCTTTATTTAACTATAAAAAAATCTCTCACTTAACCTGAAATTTGAATCAAACTTGTTAACCACTTAAAAACTTGAGTTCTCTCAAGCTCAATCAATTTTTTTCATAAATTAAAACATGATAAAAAAATTTGAAAAAAACTATTGAAATATTACAAAAATTTAATGATTATCTTCTTTTTTAAAACATAAAACTATGAATTCAGATAAATATAATTAAAAATAAGGTCAAAAATAATCTTCAAAACAAAGTCAACAAACAGTTATTAACAACTGACAAGAAGTGTAACTTTTACACAAATATTCCTTCAGGGAATCTTTTTAACATTCTCCATGACTTATAGAAGCAATTTTACATCATTGATTTAATTTCAAAACTGAAACAAGATGGTCTCCTAAAAAATTCTAAATAAAAAGACACCAAAAAAACGTGGTAAATACAGAAAATTATGTTCACAAGATTAATTTTTACCTGTTCTGTTGAAATTATGCTTTAGACTGTTAAGCAATGACCTAGTTGATAGATAAATGTTTCTCTTAGTATTGTTTTAAAAATATTTAAATAGTGGATAAAAGGCATGTCACAATATTTTAAATCATTTGTTTATTTTCCACATAAAGAAAAGGTTCGTTTAAACCGCCCTGATTGTTTTAAAGATAATCCAAGTCTGTTAAGAGTATTTGACTGCTCTGAAACACCAAAAGATTTAGAACTGCAAAGTAAAACATGGTCTCAGTACAAGCACCACCATACAATCAAGTTCCTTGCATCTGTTACCTCTAGTTTTTTTATAAATTTTTTTTCAGAGGTGTATACTGAAAGAATGTCACCTTACTAAATTCCCTCCTTATTCATCATTTATGACTGATAAAGGTTTTAATATTGCTAGTGAGTGTACTTCTTAAAGGATTAACTTTATTTTCCCACATGGCAAACAAAGAACTTCTCAAATGACACCTGCAGAAGTTGTAAAAACAAGTAACATTTGCTAATTTTAGAATTTTCATTAAACAATTAATTGATATGACATCATCATGATTTGTGCAGTATAAGATCTAACATTAAAACTTGCACTTATAATTTTTTTTTTACAAAACTTGTACTTATGATTTTAAAAAGTTGAAAAGTATTATTCAAGCATATTTGTAGCATTTTTGTTTTATAAAACAATAATAAGTAATTTTATATATTAAAGCAAAATAATCACACAGTCATTATTTTTGTTACAGTTTTAGTTTATGATTAATTTAATAGAATCTTCTTATATACCGTTACGTTATATAAGAACATTTTTTCTTATTATTTTATATACCTATATAAAATAATAAGAAAGGTTTTTGATCTACTTATAAATCTCTAATAGCCTGAAGAGTTGAGGTGGAACAATAATATCCTGGGTCTAATTAGCAGGCTGGGAAGGCTATTGGAGGCCTGAAAGCAAAGCTTTCAGGCCTTCAATAGCCTTCCCAGCCTGCTAATTAAAATGTCTTGAGTACCTGTTTTCTTCTTGCTGACCACATATCTCCCTTTTCCTACTCAGGATATTCTATATCCTGAAATAAAATGTTGTTATTTTTTGAGTTATTTCCAGAAGTCCTAATGGTCTTATCATAGAGCACCGAGGAACACTTATTCGGGCAATTCAAACCTCGTTCCTTACCATAGGATTGATTGGTAATATGGCATGAATTTTCTTGTTAAATTCTATCCAAATTATCTTAAATTTGATTCAAATGTAGATCTTTTATGAACTGATAAAAAAGAGTTTAACACTATTACACTAAATAGTCTAAAGTCATCAATAGATTGTGTTTGTAACATTGTACTGCATTTTACAATGCAGTACAATGTTAAATGGCATAGCGAGGAGCATTCCTGAAAGTTAAATATAAACAATATCAGATTTAGAAGGATGGCGTAAGTGAAGAAGAAAGTTTTATTTAAATTTTGAATAAACATTTTGAATAGTTAATTATTTTTTGTACTTGAAAGTAGTTTGAAGTACAAACTTTCTATTCCAAACATTAAAGCAGTGATTATTGTAAACATTAAACTAAAAATTAAATTAAAAATAAAAATTACTTTTATTATGTTCAAAGAAATTTTTTTCAAAAAAAAAAAAAAATTAAGCATATACTTAAAAACAAATATAATTGGATTTATTAAACAAAGTTTTTTTTCTATCACTTTTAAAACAATTTTGAATCAAAAAAATTGAATGAAAACATCAACTCAAAAACCATTTGAATGAGAAAATTAAATTTTAAAATTTAGCTAGAATAAAATAAAAAAAGTTTATTTACTCATTAAAAAAAGACTTACTTTTTGCAGAAATGACGTGAACAACGCACTAATAAATGCATGCAATGGACAGCTATAATTGCAAATAAAATCAGTCCAGCTGGACCCACAATAATACCTGCATGCTTGACTGCTGCAGGCAAACTTAAAATTCCTGTACCAACATTTCCTTTGAATATATGCACAACAGTCTCAAAGTTTCTATATATAAAAGCATATAAAACAATACATATATATAATAAGGTGATTCCATGCCAAGTGGACCACCTCAGACTTTGATGAAACTTGGTGGATTAGTTAATATCAATGAGATTAAAATAATTCTATAAAATCTCAGCATAAAATCTTTGTGGTTCATGAGATATGGTCATTTGAAATTTCTAATTTTTCCGAAAAATAAAAACTTTAGTAGCAAAAACATATTTTGTTCATACTTTAAAGCTCTATGTTTTAAAAACAAAAATTTCAGAAAACATTATTTTTTGTTGTATACATCTCTAGACTTACTTTAGTAAAACTTTGACACAACTTTAAATTTTCAAATGTCTTAATTTATCTATAATGGCGACCTAAAAAACCTAAAAATTGTTTGCAAATAAAAAAAGTTGATTTTTGGATGAGTATACAAAATCTGCAATTTAGAAGAAAAAAAAAAATTATTTTTTCAGTTTCTATAAATGGTAGGTTTCCGAATTTTCAGAAATTTACTGATAAGGTACAATTCAGTAAAAAATTTCTTTTAAAAATGACTAAAGTTAAAAATTAAGAAATTGTGCCTCCACTTCAAATCACTCTTAACCCAGGCTTAGAGTTGCAAAAAAAACCGTTTTTTTTTTAATTGTGTTTTTTTTGCAAAAAAAACATGTTTTTTTTTTTGTGTTTTTTGTGTTTTTTATGGTTTTTTTTGTTTTTTAGATTAAAAAAAAAAATTATTTACTTTTATTTAATTTTTATTTTTATTATAAATGTAATATAATATATATTAATAACATGATATATGGTAAATATATAGTACATCATTTAAAAGATTTATTTTTAATTAATAACAGATTCTGTATTCTGGCTTTCTTGTTCATTAAGGTCTTCTATTGTAAAGTCAAATCCGTATTGCATCCACAACTATTCACAACTCAGAAAAATAAAATTGCATCCGTATCCGGATGCAATTTTATTTTTTTGAGTTGTGAATGGAACTCTTGTTGAAGAATACAATCGTTTTAAGGGAGGCTTATCTGATTTGGTTTTATTTGCCTTACAGTCTCCAAACTTAGGGGTTGTAGACCTACTTTGGTTTCCAAAACAGCTTGGTGTTGGAAAGAAAGATTCAATTGGAACTTGTGGAATAGCAGATGATAAACATATTTTTTTCTCTTTTTTCATATCTTGAATAGGTAAGTTTTCAGGAATATCTTCTTCCATCATTAGTTCAGTTTGAACTTTCTTCTATTTAAAAGGCATATCGTTCAAATATTTGTTTTTTATTTGATCGCCACATTTCATACATTTTGCAATGTGCTTAGTCATTCGAGTGCCATTTTTTGATAGCTTTAAGCTGCAAAATTTGCATATAACTTGTTGAATTTTAGAACCTCCAGATTCTAAAGGTGCCTCATTGAACAATGTAGCTACAAAACATTTCTTTCTGCCTGGCATATTTTTTTTTAGATTTCTTTTTTTTTTTTTTAATTAAAAATAATTAATAGATTACAAATTGTTTAATATAAATGTTTTTTCATTAGACAAAGTTAATCATTGTGTTATTTTTATTTACTTGAATATTGTTTGAATAAATAAAATTTTAGCTATCTAATTGCAATTTAAAATAAAATGAAGAAATTAAATATTAAAAATTTAAAAAAGTAATATACAAAAGTAAATAAAACATTAAAGTAAATTTTATTTAACAGTTGGTTCAATTTTGTATTTTGCAATGCAGTGTTATTTCATTCATTTTTATGAATGAAATAACACTGCTAAAATAACATTTTTATTTCCTTCATTCAGTAGTATTATACTTACAATCAACTAGTAGCTAATAGTATAGTTTTTTTGAGATTTATTTAAAAAATTACTTTTTTAAATATTTAATACTGTTTTTTTTTAATATTGGTGATTAGTTTGTAACAGCTATTATATAAGTTAATATGCATTTTATTAAATAGAAAACATTTGTATTTTGTAGGGTTAAGGGCACTGGAACTGTTTCAAGTATTATTATTATCTAAAATTTAATGAATACTAAAAAAAAGCAAAAAAAACTATAAAAAACATGTTTTTAGAACCAGTCTGTTTTTTTTTGCAAAAAAAAACGTGTTTTTTTTAAAAAAAACACCGTTTTTTTTGGGGTTGCAACTCTACCCAGGCTCAACACTAGTTTTATTAACAATTGTTTTTTCTTCTACTGATTCAATAGACTTTTTACAGTGATTTCATAAAAAAAAATAGTGGGTACTCATGGAGAAGTTACAAAATCAAAAAATGATTTGCACAAAATCAGTGGCGTGCTGGCCCCCGAGACTATGCGGGAATCCCGCTTGGGCCTATCGCTATTTATCCTAGAAGGGCCTTTTTATTGAACTTTTATACCCTTTACTGCATTATGAAAAGGATTCTTATATATTAGTATTTTGCATAATAAAATGCAAACGTTTATAACATCAAAACAAAGTTGATATTGGAAAAAATTTGTTACGTCACTTAAATCGCTTATTATATCAGTCGTTATATAGAAAAAATTATTTAAGTTGGCTAATATTTGAATATATATATTTATATATTTGAATATATATATATATATGTATATATATATATATATATATATATATATATATATATATATATATATATATATATATATATATATATATACATATTTGAATATATATATACATATATATTTGAATATATATATATATATATATATATATATATATATATATTTACATATTTGAATATATATATACATATATATTTAAATATATATATATATATATATATATATATATATATATATATATATATATATATATATATATATATATATATGTATATATATATATATATATATATACACATATATATTTGAGTATATATATTTACATATTTGAATATATACATACATATATATTTGAATATATATATATATATATATATATATATATATATATATATATATATATATATTTGAATATTTATATACATATATATTTGAATATATATACAAATGTGGGCCTTCAAATCAAGCATATTTGAAAAAGTATCGCATATATGGGTTTTTTTGGAAAAATCCTGCATGTGCTTTTTCGAACCAGAACGCCCCTGCACAAAATGCATTTAAAACAATAAAGTAAAGTTAATGTTACACTTTAGCTTGTATTATATAGTGTAACACAAAGTATGTATAAATTTAAAAGTATTTTATAATCAGTACTAGAAATAAATTAAAGCCCAAACTTTTCCCTGCCCCTCCTCTTGTCCATTTATTTTTAGCATAAACATTTTTGCTCAGAACTTAGAAAAAAATTGTAATTGAACATTTCTCTTTACACAATCTGTTTTCATGTCTGATAAATGAAGTGCCTTCATGCGCAAATACACCACTTTTCATATCTGATGAGTGAAGTGCCTTCATGCGCACCACTAAACATACAGATATATAACCTGTGACACTTAGTTTTTAATGACAGTAAAAAGATTGCATATAAAATTTATTTTTAGACTTTTAGTTATTTTGCCTAATATTTAATATCATGACTATAAATTTTTTAACATTTTTTTCAATCCATTCACTATTACACCCCTCCCCATTTTTTTGACTTACTTGATTATCATATTCAAATTTAGATTACAACTTATTTCAAGTTGGTTGTCAACACAAGTTAAATAACTCTTATAACTTGGTATAAGCCAAAGTTGATTATGTAAAAAATATTATTTTTTATTACTTAATTTAACTTAAGCTTAAGTAAACTTAAGCAAAAGTTGATTACATAAAAAATATTATTTTTCATCGACTTTTACACATTAGCACTAATTAAAAGAAAAAAAACAAAACATTAATGCTAATGTGTAAAGTCTTCAAAGCGGACAATTATTTTTTATTACTTGTGCCAAGTTATAACTCTTATAGCTTGGTATAACTTGGCATAAGTTTATTATGTAATAAAAAATATTATTATGTAATAAACAATCAATACTGAATCTTTTGAATATGCTTTAAAATCAATTTTTGACTAATAACTATAAAAGTTTAAAACAAATCAATTAATAATAATTTCAACAAATCAAATTAATAATAATTTCGCTAAGTTGTTATATAATTATGTTATTTACGCTATTGTGCAAATGTAATAATTCAGATTTTTTTGAAAAAAAAAAAAAAATTTCACATAAAATATGCGTTATTGGAATCTAGTAAATTTCTTCCTTATGCCCCAAGTAAAAGAGTTTAAGGAAGCTTATGAGCTCGGTAAGAACATCTTTATGTATGTAAAATGGTAAAAACCATTTTGCATCATAAACACATGTTATATTAGTTCAGGCCTTGTTTTAAATAAAAAAGTGCTTAATGCATTAGCTTAATGCGGTATTTGACGTCATAAAATTATCTTTATTTTTTTTTATAGACTTTAAGTATTTTAACTACCGCAATAAATAAATAACAGCTAACTAGTTCAATTTAACAATTAACTCAAATAACTTTCTAAATGTAATGCGTTTTAAATGTAAATTTATAATGAAAAGTTTGTTATGTTTTCAATTGTTATTTTAATATTAATTTTAGTTTATATTATTTAGTAAAAATATATATATATATATATATTTTAATTATTTCCGAAATTTGTTTTTGAATAATTATTGTTTATAAATCGTTATTGAATAAAAAATAATCATGATTTTTTTATTTTTAAAAATTTCTGAAGTAAACAAAAAATATTTAACATTGATAAACAAAAACCCTTGTTAATTATTTAAAAAATGATCATGATTTTTTAATTTTAAAAATTTCTGGAGTAAACAAAAAATATTAACATTGATAAACTAAAACCCTTGTTAATTATTTAAAGCGATTTTGTTTTGACTAGCACAGGATAATTTAGGTTTTTAAATATTTTTTAAATTTATGTTGCTTAGCGTTTTAACATGCGCTAAATAAACATATATAAAAAAGTTTCATGTCTGCTTTGAGCATATTTTTGATA